ACAACAATAATAACAACAAGAGCAACAATAGCAAGAACAACAACAACAACCACAACAACAACAACAACAACAACAACAGCAGCAGCAGCAACAGCAACAAAAACAACAACAACAGCAACAACAACAACAAACATAATGTTAAGACTGTTCGCCCTTATCTGCTCGAGTGTCGAATAACGCGAATTTCCCAAACCCTCGATACCCGCCCTTTCCGTCTTCGATCGAACCCCTTTTGGGGGGTATACCTTTCTTCCCTGCAGGCCGGGCCCCGGCAAGCGGCGGGGCGGCCGCGGACCGTCGGCCTGGCCAGCGGCAGCGCTGATCGGCGGGGCGGCCGCGGACCGTCGACCCGACCCCAAGAGGGACGGACAGGGGACCGACCACGACGACGACGACGACGACGACGACGCCGACGACGACGACGGCAACGACGGCGACGGCGACGACGACGACGACGAGCGAAAGCGAGAGAGAACGACAGCAGAGCCACGAAGGTCACGAAGTAGGCCACGAAGGGAGACAGCGGGGACATGAAGGGAATGCGTATGGGGCCACGAAGAGCGCGAACGAGCGTGGACCACGAAGCGCAGATAATGCGGGGCCACAGAAGGCAACGATGGGGCCACTGAGGGTAGCACCTGGGCCACGTAGGACAATGAGGGGGCCACAAACGGCGACAGCGGGGCCACGAAGGGCATGCACATGGGGCCACAACGGGCGCGAACGAGCGGGGGCCACGAAGGGCATACGTATGTTGGGCCGCGGAGAGTACGGACGGGGCCACTGAGGGCAGCAACGGGGACACGAAGGGCAGCGAGGGGGCCACGAACGGCGACAGCGGGGCCACGAAGGGCGCGCACATGGGGCCACCACAGGCGCGAACGAGCGGGGGCCACGAAGGGCATACATATATGGGGCCACGAAACAAAGCGAGGGGGCCACGAAGGGCTGCAACGGGGCCACGAAGGCAGTGAGGGGGCCACGAAGGGCTGCAACGGGGCAGCGAAGGGCTGCAACGGGGCCACGAAGGGCAGCGAGGGGGCCACGAAGGGCTGCAACGAGGCCACGAAACAAAGCGAGGGGGCCACGAAGGGCTGCAACGGGGCCACGAAGGGCAACGAGGAGGCCATGAGGGGCTGCAACTGGGCCACGAAACAAAGCGAGGGGGCCACGAAGGGCTGCAACGGGGCCACGAAACAAAGCGAGGGGGCCACGAAGGGCTGCAACGGGGCCACGAAGGGCAGCGAGATCCCGATTCCTAGGTAATCTGTGAAGGAGTCCTAAGCGTGAGCGCGACTCCTGGGTGCTTGGGTGTCGGGAGCGCGGCGCTGGAGTAAATTGCAAGAAACTCCAACGCAAGGGCGCTATTCTTCAGTAAATTGCAAACAAGTCTCCAGCGAGAGCGCGACTCCAGAGCGCAGGAGGAGCGATTCCTGAATAAATCGTAAGGAAATCCCAAGCGAGAGCGCGATTCTTGAATAACATGCGAGGAAGTCTCGGGCGGGAGCGGGGGTCCTGGCTAAATTGTGAGGAAGTCTCAAGCGGGAGCCCTTGTTGTTGTAACCCGGGTGCCAGGGGGCCAGTTTGAGCAGGAAGACTTTCCTTGACAAAAAACAAAGTGCGAGCCCCGGGGGGGCACTTCAATTGAAAAAAAAATGTGCACCGGTGGAGGGGGATCAACAATAATTATATTTTAAGAATGAGAGTTCTACGATTACTACTACTACTACTACTACTACTACTACTACTACTACTACTACTACTACTACTACTACTACTACTACTACTACTACTACTACTACTACTACTACTACTACTACTACTACTACTACTACTACTACTACTACTACTACTACTACTACTACTACTACTACTACTACTACTACTACTACTACTACTACTACTACTACTACTACTACTACTACTACTACTACTACTACTACTACTACTACTACTACTACTAGTACTGCACTACAACAACAACAGCAACATAAGCAACAGCAGCAACAACAACACCACCACCACCAACAACAACAACAACGAGAACACCAACAACAACAACAACAACAACAGCAGCAACAACAACAACAACAACAACAACAACAACAACAACGAGAACACCAACAACAACAACAACAACAACAACAGCAGCAACAACAACAATTACGAGCACGTGGGGACACTCCGTTCTCACCAGTGCCAGGGTTTTCATAGGAGCCGGGCAAAACCCCCACTTTGTGGGGGGGCCGGTTCAAGCTCTACCAAATTCCCAAATGACTCTTCGCCACCACCCACACCCAGCTTCCCGCCCTATGACGTTCGGACACTTCACTTCGTGGCATGCGGACGACCGTGGCTACTATTCAGGGCCCCGCGGCCGACGACGACGGCGTGCGCGCGCGAAGAAAAAACGAATGTGTCCCGCATGGTATTATTTGACAGGGATGATGGCCCTGGCAGGTGCGCAACCGTTGTTGCAGAAGTTCGAAAAAGTTGCTCG